AAAAAAAAAAAAAAAAAAAAAAAATAATCCTTAATTTTGCCAGCATTCATACATTTTTAAATTTGTGATTATCTTTTTCCAATTATAAACTATGAAATGCATTTAGTTTTTGGTTTATGTTCGTTTTTACTTTCTCCTCCATATCTTCACAGTCTGAAACTTGTTTTTCAAATGGTTAAGCTGGACTCCTACTCAAATATAGATATTCAGTAAAAAAAAAAAATATTGTATTTATATGTGCTAGGGACTAGGGAATTCAAAGATGCGGGGATATGGTTCTTGCATTTGAAAAGTTGGGGAGGCTGACCTAAAAACATACAGTCCACTAAAAATAGATTGTAAGCTTTGCAAAAGCAGGAATGAGTTAGTTTTTGTTTATTGCTGTGTTGCCAGTAAATAATTGTTTGGGAGAGTTAGAAAAGCCTCTCAGGGACTGGGCATGGTGGCTTATTCATGTAATCCCAGTAGTTTGGGAGACCAATGTGAGAGGGTCGCCTGAGCACAGGAGTACAACACCAGCCTGGACAATATATCAAGACCTCATTTCTACTAAGAATTAAAAAAAAAAAGAAAAAGAAAAAAAAAAACAAGCATGGTGACACATGCCTGTGGTCCCAGCTACTCTGGAAGCTAAGGTGGGAGAACTGGCTTACGCCCAAGAGTTCAAGGTTGCAGTGAGCTATGATCATGCCACTGCACTCCGGGCTGGACAACAGAGTAAGACCCTGTCTCAAAAAAAGAAACAAGCTTCTCAGATAAGATGATACTTCAAGTATGAAGGAATATTATGTTAGGAAGAAAAAGAGACCAAGGACATTAGCAACCTACAAAGACATGATATGATGATGAAAGAGAATGAAAATTTTAAGGAACATTATAAAATTATGAGTGACAGCAGCATGGGAGGACAGTAAAAGAAAATAAAGCCTCACTGAGTGATAGATTATATCCAAGTCGGAAAGGCCTTGTGTGAGTTTGTAACAAGCTAAGGAATTTAGACTTCAGGGAACCAAGTCTGTCTAGTAATCAGGGAAACTCAGGAATTTGAATTGATGTTAATATTCAAACTATTTTTTTTTTTTGCCAACATTCCTGCTACACTGGATATTATGCAGTATTGTTTCTTTCAAATCCTTGATTCGTGTGTAACAATACATATAACTTAATCAGGAATCCTTAAAATAAATGTTTTTTTTAAAAAAATCTCTGGGAAGTATAAACTTGATTATTTTTAAGTGAACTATAATTTATCTTTAATTTTTGTGAACTAGGGACTCTCCTAAGAAATTATCAAATGCAACTACAAATGCAATTTTTAAAAAGTAACCCAGTTTAAAGCTTTCTTTAAAAACAATATTTTAAGTTTTTATGTTTATGATTTGAATAAGCACAAAATTATCTATTTTTATCAAGAACCCAATTCTTCATGCTCTGCAAATTCTATTTTCTATAAATGTTTCTTTGTAAAAATTTTAATTATACTCATATTTTATTATAAAGATACTGATTTGATTAGCATTCTCCTATCAAACACATCCTTTTGATTATGAACTACCTAAAAATTTCTAAGAAAGACTTGTGAGTGATTCAGAAAACTTTATTTGGTAAAGAGTATGATAGTAGGAATGATTTGTTCTTATAATTCAGCCTCATTAAGAAAAATGGCTCAGGATTGCCTACAGAAATGCCCAAATGTTGTTCCAAAAGTTTCTTTGAACTATTAATATTGAGTTATTTTCAGTGTTTCCATTCAATGAATGTCTCAACCCTTGGTTTTGAGAACATAAGGTTAATTAAAGTGTCTGCTATTTTTTAATGCTATTCCATTGTAACTGCTAATAATAATGAGCATTTTCCTGCTTTATATCAAAAAATTATATTCAAAATGTCATGTGTGTTCTCTGATTTCTTTTCTTACAGCTTGCCAGTATTTGCCGTGCTGAAATGTTTTAATTTATAATTTCCTTCCTTTGTATCTTTTAGTTTTCTCTGTTGCTGCTTTTTCTGTGACACGAGCCTTTCATTATAGTCACTCTTCTTTTTTCCTTCCCCACTTCTTTCTTTTCCTTTTTTAAAGCCATGAGAAGCCGATCCATTGGTGAATGTGCTCTGCCATCGGCCTATATACGCAGTGCTAAAAGTGCTCCTGTTCTGATCCATACTTCCAAACCCTTCTTGCCTGATATTGTTCTCACTCCCCTTTCTGATGAGCTTTCAGGTAGTGCCACCTCTGCTAATTTCTGCACCCCCTTTTTCACTTTTTAATCCTCTGCTTTCAATTTTTTGCTTAATCAAATAAACTCTTTAAAGTTAATTTCTTTGGGGGAGGTGTGGGAAACTGGGAAAGTGATTGAGAAATCAACATTTTGAGTTATTTGAACTCTAATGCTATCCTTGCAGTTCATTCTGGAAGTGCTAAGTTTAGTGCTGTGCCAATGTCCAGTAATTTTGGTTGTAAATGGCCAATTATTATTATTTTTTTGCTCATGTTTGATTTTTTTCTTCCTCTCAGGTGGTTAAAAGAAGTAGTAGTGTATATTTATATCATAGATGCCTTATAAAAGATGACTTTGGAAGATAATCAGAGCATTGACTTTTAATTTCCCATTGTTCTGACTAACAGTGTGGTAAATCTTAAATAATTTTTTCTGTATCATCTATAGTAATGAAACTGAATAAGGGCAATCAATATTTGGGAAAAGTATATAGTCTAAAAGTTGCTTTGGAATCTTTGTATTTATGTTACATGTAATCATATATAGAATTCTAAGGACTCACTCATTTTTAAACCATTCTGTGAAGCCCTAACTTTGAAGGAGCTTCAAAAATTGCTTAGCTTTCCAGTTCTGCAGTACTGGGATGGTCTGCTGTTTTATTAAGCTTTAACTAACATGTAATAAAATGCATGGATCCATAGACTCAATTGAATGAGTTTTGAGAATTGTACACATCCCTATTAGCCATCATCACAAAGTATAGAATGTTTCCACTACCTCAAAAAGTTTCCCAGTGACCTTTTCCAGTGAGTCACCACGTACTCCTCCCCTCCACACAATGATAACTTTTTGCTGTTCATCACCATAGATCAGTTTTATTTTTAAAAAAAATTTTTGGCATAAATAAAATCCTACAGTGTGCAGATCGTGCTAGCTCAAAGAAACCTACTTGTTTTGTTAACTTTGGAAACATAATATAATAAATTAAAAGTGGTTTAAAATGAAATTGGAGTTGATTTTTCAGTTTGATGACAATAATAGAAAATTTGGCATCAATCCAAACCTGAATATCTAGTAAGTATTGGTGAATGAATGGATGTATTTTACACCAGTAAAATTAGGCAGCCTGAAGATTTTAAGCTACCAGTGCAAAAATTGTAAGATGTAAAAATATATAGATGGAATAATATAAACTTTAATAGATGGCAAAAAAAATGGCACACAGTTTTGTTACATGTAATGCTTTGCTACAAATAAAGAATTTGGATATTTTTTTCTCTTTAGTGCTTCATTTAAGCACTATACCTCCTTATGTAAGTAGCACAGATTTTGGTTGCTTACATCAAATTATAATCTAGTTACTTAAGTTGGCAAACAATATTTCTGTTCTTAAAATTGAATTAGATACCGCTAAAAGAAATTCTGAATTTGTTGTAAACTTCTCTTGGATACATTTTTTGCTCCTATTTTTTTTTATAAAAGACATACTTAGAGCATTTAATGCAAACCATTTTTGACATGTTTAGAAAATTAAAATGAGTTTTGGCCAGTTCCATTATTATTTTATTCTGTTCATTTATGTTAAGTACGGAATTTGAATTCTCTTGGCCACTAATACTTAAAAGTTTGATTGGATTAGGCATTCCACTACTGTCTTAAAAAAAACTATAAGAAAGATTTATGTTTTCCCCAAATCTGAAGGAATTTATTAAATTTCTCATCTGCAACTTAATATTTTGTCAAATATTCATGTTAAGTGCTAAAACATTTTTGAAAAGCTAAAACAAAGATAAGGTTGTTCCTTTCAAAATATTCTAGAGTGGTGCCGTAGCCAGGATGAGAAGTTTTTATTTCACAATTCTTGCTTTGCTACAAATACAAAATTCAGAAAGTTTGCTTTTTTTTATGATTTTACGATTTAAACATTTATGAACACTATTTGAAAGGAATTTTCTAAATGGCAATTTTATTTGTTGTATTCCTTTTCCCCATCTGGGGCAACATACCTTCTATGATAAATTTAAAGATTTAGATGGTATTGAGACATCAGTGACTAAAACAAAACAAACTTTATGTCTGATTATCAAAATAAAAATGTTGATTTTAGAAAACATGGATTATATGGAAAACCACATGAAAAAATTTATATAATCCTCCAAAACTAGTGATCATTTATTGGCGTCTTCAAATGCTTTTGCTACCAGTTTTTTATGCTTGTGTACATTAAAAATATAGAAGCATAATTAGTTATTTTGAATTTAAAATCTTTTTTTTTTTCTCTTAGAATTTGAAAGAGGAAAGGAACCTATCACTTTAAAATAGCAGCAAAATCCCGCCTTTCCTGAGAACTGACTTGTGAATGAAGTCAGGATTTTCCCAGCTGATATGTAGATTTAGAATACTTTCCTGGAGATGCAAATAGGTATATAGAAAGATTCACAGTGCAAATCAACATATTAAAGGCCCTTAGAAAACCTGTAGAAAAACCAAAACTGTTTATAATTGAGTATGTCTCAAACTTATTTAAGCATAGAACACCTTTCCAAGTGCACATTACTGATATCCTGTGGCATTAAGGTTCCAGAGAGAACAAATATGAAAATTGAACAGGATTAATCTTATACCAGCGTACATTGTAGAAATCTAAATTACTGGATTGGTTTTTTTGCCTCTGCGATTCTTGGAGGAAAATTAAAGGCTTGGATTTTGCTTCTTCAGGTGTTAGGTGCAGAGCGAAGGAGAGAAAAAGAGGTAAGAGAAAATGTAGGAGTTATAAGAATAGAGATTTGTAAAAATAGTGCTAAATTAAAAACCCAAAATCAACAGAATCTTGGATCTTCAACCAATCATTCTTTAATTGCTGATGTTTCTTCCAAGGTTTGAGTAAATTTTACTGCAAAATAGTTTAATGTACAGGGAATTAATAAGAAAGTGAACTGTATGAAGGGGAAAAAGTAAATGGTTTTTCTTGCTTTCGTATCTCGCCCTAATGTGAACAAGCCTAAACTCAAAATATTTCCTGAGTGTCTCTCTGAAATCAGGAGTTGAGGTTTCTTCAACTACTTCACCTAAAAAACCTCAATGAAACTACTCATAGACAGTCTACTTCTAGCTTATGGTAGAATTTGTCAGAAAAATATTTATCTGATACTTTTGGATAATTTGGGGTGTAAAAGCAAAGTCCTTTTAAATCATTTTTTTAATAGACTAAAATTTATGAGAAAGGACCATCAATTTTCTAAGTACCCTATTTGTTTTCAGCCCTTTTTTCTTCTCCAGTGTTCTTGTTCTGTCTATTCTACCTACATTGTTGTAAGTATGATGCTATATGATAGAGCTTTTATATACATTTTTTAAAATTTGCTCTGTTGCCTAGGCTGGAGTGTAATGGCACAAACATGACTCACTGCAGCCTTGTCTTCTCTGCCTCAGCCTCCCATGTAGATGGGATCATAGGCATGTACTACCACACCTGGCTAATTTTTTAATTTTTTCTTAGAGTCAGGGTTGTTGCCCAGGGAAATTCTGAACATAAAGTTGCCCAGGCTGATCTCAAACTCGTTGGCTAAAGTGAACCTCCCCACCTTGGCCTCCATAAATGCTGGGATTACAGTAGTGAGCCACCACACCCAGCCCATGAAGAGTTCTTCTTAAGCTCTGGGGACCAGTTTGAGGTCATTGGCATTATGTCAATGACACTATTTCTCAACAACAGACTCATCTATAACAGTTTGGAAAATATGTATCAAGTTTGATACAATATGTTGGCTTGCACAAATGTCTAATTTATTCTAGTGTCTGGGCAAGCACACTCCTTGGCCTCACTCTCATTGGCCTTCATAATTATTTGGTAATTACTGTACCAGATTGTACATATTTGGTAGCCCAGTCTGAGAGTCATTGTTTTCCTAATAAATGGATAAGAGAGAAGCCAGAAATCTGAATCATCATTCTTAAGCAAATTACTTTTACTGCCAAGAGTAAAACACTTTAGTGAAAGAAGGGATATAAATGTATATAAACATGGTAGGCAGCTTTGTGTATACTTCCACAAATTTTTTTATGTATTACTTTCTAATCAAGTACTGTGAGTTTCTCATCCTGAAATTAAGCTTACAGACTCAGTTTCTTCCAACTAGTTCCCAAAACTGATTTGTCATTTTTGTTGCTATTAGACTCTAGTCTTAGGCTGTAGTATGTAGACTGCTACTGTATGGGGACTGACCTCTTTTTATTAACAATGCTTTATTATTTGAATTGAGCTCTTTATACTTCTGTTTTCTGAGTATCAAGGAAAAAAATAATAGTATGTCTCACAGGCCTACCCTATTCCTGAATTCTGCCCGATAAGGAGAATTTTCCATCTCATGAAGAAGTAGGCCCTTCTTTGTACAATCAAGAATTTTTTTCCTATGATCAGTGTACAATAAGATATTAGTATTTTACAGATTTTCCACTTGTAATCTGCTGATTGTAGCATAATTCCAATTAGATTTTTTTTCTTTTAAGAGATAGGGCCTCATTCTGTTGCCCAGGCTTGATTGCTGTGGTGCCATCGTAGCTTATTGCAGCCTGGAACTCCTGGGCTCCAGAGATCCTCCCATCTCAGCCTCTTGGCAAATTAAATCTTTTTTTTTCCTGGAATAATTTGCATTAATTTTTTTGAGACAGTTTTATTCTGTCACCCAGGCTGGAGTGCAATGGTACAACTAGGCTCACTGCAGCCTCTGCCTCCTGGTTTCAAGCAATTCTTGTGCCTCAGCCTACCAAGTAGCTGAAACAATGGAAGCCCGTCACCACGCCCATCTAATTTTTTTTTTTTTTTTTTTGGTAGAGGTGGGGTTTCACCATGTTGGCCAGGCTGGTCTTGAGCTCCTGACCTCAGGTGATCTGCCTATCTCGGCCTCCCAAAGTGCTGCGATTACAAGTGTGAGCCACTGCCCCCGGCCTACATTAACTTTTTAAAAAGAACATCTCAAGAAAAATGTGAGGCTAACTTAAACATGGCGTTATATAGCATACTCATAAGCAAAACACTTTTTTTTTTTTTTTTTTTACCCTTCCCCACCCGGCTGCCCCAAGTTAATAACTTTTAGATTCTTTTTTGTTTGTTTTTTGAGACGGAGTCTTGCTCTTGTTGCCCAGACTGGAGTACAGTAGCACTATCTCAGCTTACTGCAACCTCTGCCTCCCGGGTTCAAGCAATTCTCCTGCCTCAGCCTCCCGAGCAGCTGGGACTACAGGCGTGCCACCACGCCCAACTAATTTTTGTATTTTTAGGAGAAATGGGGTTTTACCATGTTGTCCAGGATGGTCTTGATCTCTTGACCTCATGATCCACCCGCCATGGCCTCCCAATAGTGTGTTAGGCACCATGCCTGGCCCATGCTTTTCTTAACATAAAAAATATATTGGTAGTTTATGTTCGGAATTTAAAAGTCGGGAAAACAATTTTAGAATAAAAGAGAAAATAGTCTAGTGGGCTAAATTTTAGTGATTTAACATGAAAAATATTGAGCTTGATTTGTTGCTTTTAAGTCTTTTTATATGATTACAATAATGCAAATACTGCTTTGAATTACCTACAAATTGAACATGTAATCTTGACCTAGAATTTTAATAGCCTCTTAGTATTTGAAACATTGATGCTCTATAGTTCTTTCTTACTTTGAAGTACATTGTCATTGTTGCCCAAGTAGACAAAAACTTAAGTAATTAGCAGAAAAAAAGTTTCAGAATGGCATCAGTTTCTGTGTAAAGTAGTTTAAATGACGTTACAAATTCAGGAACTATAAAAATGTTACTGACAGCTAACACTCGTGCTTGACCAAGAAAGTAACTTAACTTTAGTAAAGGGGATTTTGGCACTTGATTCTATGAATCATTTCAGAAATTATTAAAATTTTCTAGTGATATGTTAGTATTCTAACTGAAGAAGGTTTTTTTGTAACTAACTTGCTTTTTACCAATTAGGAGCTACTTTTTTTTTTTTTTAAGGCACACTTTTCTTTTACTATTTATTAAGCCCATATTATGTGACAGGTCCTCTTTCAAGCAATAGAAATAATTGTGATGAACAAAACAAAAATCCTCAAGAAACTTAAATCTAGTGGAAAGGAGTGCTTTTTTCTTAACATTTTATAAGCTGATAGTATACTTCAATGTATAACTTTCCTTTCAAACTAACAAAGGAGACTTTTGAACAAAATATTTCCAGGAAAAAAATTGATTTTTTAGCCTAGAAATAATTGATACATTTTAATGGTAAACAGTATTAAGAAAACCCAGAGATAAAACTTGACATTTCTGTAACTTTATAGGTTATACAGGAAGCATTTTCTCAGTGTTCAAAAGCAGTTTTTGTAAATCTCTTGGAAACATTTTTATTGTTTCACTCATTAAATGGTTTCTAATGCTTTAGAGTAACATTAATTTTAAAAGACTATACTTTGAGGGATAATTTCTAAGGTATGTTACTACAGGCGTTTCTCTGAACATGTGGGACTGGAAACCGGGAAGAGAAGGTACAGTGTTCTCTGCTTAGTGTGAAACAGACCTTTGGTGTTGCTTTGCTGCAACTGCCATTTGCCCTGGGTGATTCTTCTCTTCCTCCTGGAGAGTAAGAGGACACAGTCTGAGTGGTTTCCCTTAAGAAAAAGAAAAAAAATATGAAATTTTATTTAAAAGCTTTCATTTTTCAAGTTAAAATATAAGCAGCATAATTAAATTGTTTTGAGGGGTATTTTTATTTAAACCTGATGCCACCATTATTTTTAGCAATTCAGTACAAAGTTTTTTCATTGTCTCCGTCTGTATAATTTACTAACATTTGTTTTAGTTAGGTTTTGATTTCTAACATTCTTATCTTTATAAAGATAAATCACTAACCTGCTCTGTGGTTTTTTAAAATTCTTTTTTGTTTATATTGAGATGTTATTAATGGCTAGCTTTATGATTTCTCAGTAACAATTAATTTTTACCAAGTTTTATTTAACAATTAATAAATTATTTTATGAGTACAAAACATATATAACATATTATTCAAGAGATTAAGAGTAAAGACTAATTTCTGCCTTACTTTACACCACAGCTCCTCACTTTGTAGCTGTGTAAATTTGGGTAAGTCACTTAAACAGTTTTTTCATCCATAAAATAGGTGTAGCACCTACTTCATGGGGTTGTGAGGATTGAATGAATGATATGTCAGATGCTTACAACACCTGACATATGGAAAATACTATATACGGTTTAGTTATTATTTAGTCTTTTTTTTTCAATAAAGTTCAGCTGTAATATATTTCCTCAGCTATTTATATAAGGCTTGTTAGAGTCAATTATGCTTAATTCAAGTGCCATTTGTATTGGCATAATACAACCCTCTTGATCTGAATTTAGCAGATAGTTGGTTTCCTTTCAGTGTTATTTTCGTCTTTGATTTTATGTAATTAGTATTGTTATGTACCATGAAAGAACTATATTTAAAGCTTAAGACTTTGAAAATATCATTTAAATTTAAATTCTTCAATACTACAGTATTGGTAGAAAAAAATCCGGTTACTTTTTTTTTTTTTTTAAAGCTCTTTCCCTCTTAAGCTTGCACAAAAGTTTTAGACAGTCATGTATGGTAACACAGTTTTAGAAAAAAAATAGGCTGAAATAATGGCCAAGTTTTCTAATATACAGGGTGTGAGGGCTGAGTTTGGGAAGGAATTCCTAAACACGCAACATCATAATTATCTTTCCTGGCTTCTTTAGAATGGAAAAATTGTGAAATATCAATAAAAGAAATTAAAAACTAAAACTAATATTGTATTTCTGACGTTTTTGTATTTGCTAGTGTTATAACATTAGATTTTAATGTTTTGAAATCTTGATTTTGACCTTTGGTAAAATAAAATCCCAGCTATAAAATTTGTAAGAATTATTATAGAACAGTTATACAGTCTTTATCCTTGGCTGAGTTCTTTAGAATATTGTATGGAAAGAAATTTAGACTGCATGTTGAAAATAATCTCTGTCATTGAGGCAGAAGTTCTTATGATCTCTTATGGCAGATGTAAAAAAACCAAATATTTATGTTTCTCAAGATGCACAGATATGAGTTAGTTATCTGCTGTATTAACCAACACTTAATGAGTATAAGTGCATCAGTATGAAGTTTTTAAGGAGATAGTTCACTTTTCATTTAGAAAAATTTCTAAGTGGAATGTGAGGAAGAAAACAATGTCATTTTTTTAAAGTTACACATTCCTCTCATTTTCATGACGAAAAGTTAATTGTTTCAGCTTCAGGAGATACTATATATTTGACCTATGATGGGAGCCTACTAATATATCATCAGGAATATACTGGAATCTTGGCATAATACAAACCTCTGTTGATCTCAATTTAGTATAAAGTAAGTCCGTATGGACCTCATACGAAGAGGGTGATATGGATGAAATTGCAGAAGGACTAGCCTTTTTTCAGCCATAGTATGGTTCCCAAAAATACTCTGAATGACTCTCTCCATTTTATAAATGAGGAAACTGGTCTCAAAGTCTAGAGTAAGAATCAGCAAATTATTTTCTAATCTTGGAAAGTCACTGCTTTGCTTCTGGATCTAAATTTTCTAATTTTGATGACTCACTTATAGTTCTGTTACATTTAACTTTTGTGCAAGAAGCCTAATAAGTAGCAACGGCTTACTTTTTGACTCTGTCCTTTCTTCATTATATTTTGCTGACTTCTGAAAACAATTTTTTTTTTGTTATTTCTAGGTAACTTGTAGATTATGATGGATTCATAGACATTGTATTTTGCTTCCAAAATTCCTGTTGAGAATTTGTATATATCTGAACAGTTAAATGGTTGTTTCATCCTGTGATTTTCAATTTCATAAATATTTTTGAGGATTTACCATAAACTTAATGCTGAAGGCAGTGAAAATAATGCAGTGATATGTAACACTAAGCCTGTTTCTCAAACTTTTTTTATTGCAAATTTGATAACGTAACTTAACCTCTCTGGGCTTCAATTTTCTTATCTGTGAGAGAGTTAGATAATCTCTGAATGTCCATCTGTAATTCTTGAAAAGATATGTAAGAAGCCAGAGATACAGTTTTTAGAGCTTGATGGCTGTTTAATGGAAAAGGCCAATAACAGGCAGGTAAAGTTTCTTCCCAGCAGATATAAGTAGTGTTTTTGCCAAAAACAAAAGAATACAATTGATTTTAAAAAAAACATATTGACTTTATTTGATGTCAGTGAATAAGATTTACTATAATAAAGTAAAACACTTTGGGAGAACAGATAGTTTCCTGACAAAGAGAACTTTAGGAAGAGGGTAGAGAGTTTCATTTCTCATATCTAATCAGACAGAGAAGCAAAATTTGAAGAAAAGATGCCTCTTGTCTTTTTTGGGTAGGAAGCTGGAGAATTTACTAGACCCTGTAGGAGTGTACAGTGGGATACTTGGATGGGCTTTCTGTGTTGAGGTCTATTTTTTCTGCTTGGAACTTAAGTAGGAAAAATTGAATAACATTTGAATTGCTTGATTTATTGGCACAGCGCTATCTTTATCTGCACTTCCAAATGTTTCATCACCTCACTGTCTGTTTCTATGCATGTTAACATTTTAAAATGTGTTTTGGTAGTTTTCTAATTCATTGACACTACGTGCTATATTGGCTTGTTCCCATCATTTTTTAAAAAAACAGATTTGTATTTTGATTTTCTTTTTCATTGAGCTTACAAAAACCTCATTTTTTTTTAAATTTTAAAGCATATGCAATAGGGATTTGTTAAAATTAATAATAATTACTTTTTATATTTATGTAGTTCTACTCTACATAACTTTTTTTCTTTTACAGATATTGATGATGCTCAAATACTTCCCCGCTCAACTAGAGTCAGACATTTTTCACAAAGTGAAGAAACTGGAAATGAAGTTTTTGGTGCTTTGAATGAGGAGCAGCCATTGCCTCGAAGTAGCAGCACTTCTGACATCTTGGAACCATTCACTGTTGAACGAGCCAAAGGTGCAGTTCCTGTCATTGACAGTTCATCCCGCCATGCACCAAGCTTGCAGAGTTCCACAGAGGCTTCTTCAATAACTAGATCCACTGAAAGCCACATCACTGATACTCATAGTAGAGAGTCTTCTCTGGAAGTTGGTGATAGCATATATGACCATCTTTGTCATTTAATAGGTCCAGTAGGACTTGCAGATTCAGCTTTTGAACAAATCCAGTACATTGACCTTGAAGGAGATGATGATCTTCTTTCCACCTTGAAAGAATATTTTAAGGAAAACCAGGAAAATCATAGTAAAAATGAGATAGGTAAAGACCTAGCCTCTCAGGAAGTGACTATTGCAGTAAACAGGGGTGAAAGGTTATCATTAGATAAAGTAGAATGCACAGATCAGGAAATTAGATCCGAAAATATCACCTCTTTTGTTGGGACTCCTGAAAACCTACAGTTTCAGAAAGAACCAGACTCAGCTGTCTTCATGAGTAACATTGCACCTGTCCAGTCAGACAGTTTTATTAGAACACAAACTTCTGAAAAATCTAAGCAACTAAACAGTGATAAACAGCCATCAGAGCCTAGTTCAGATAGCCCTTGTGATAAAGAAAAAAGGAAACATCTATGTAGACAAACAGCCACAGAATTAGATGCTTGTGTTGATGTAACACTAGTTGAAAAGCTTAAGAGTGTGCAAATTAATGAAAAAATCACTGTCCCACATGTTATGCGTGCCAAGAAAGCAACAGTAAAAGCACCTGTTAACCGCAGAATGCCTCACATTACAAATACTAGCAAACTTTCTCCAACTAAAAGGAGTTTGTCTGAAACAGTAACTCATAGAGCTAAAATCATGAAAATTGCTACCAAAAAACGAAATAGTGTTCATGTTACTTTTAGACCATCCACTGAGTCCGTTCAGTTTTATAATCCTCTGGAAAACAAAGAGGCTCCATGGAAGATGAGACTGCGGAAGCTCGGTGGCTTTAGTAGTAGTAGCAGCAATAGCAGCACCAGCAACACCCATACCAGCTCAAATAGTGCTGCGGAGCTAGTAAAACCTGGTGTGTACAGACCTCTAGATACACTTAATACTGCATCAGTAAGTAGTAAAACAGTGAAGGAATCCACAGAGATTCCCACCACCATGTTACAAAAAGAAGGAATTGCAAGTAATCAATTAGGTAGTCGTAGTACTCTTAGGTCATCAAGTCATGAGGCAGGACTACAGCAGGGCTCCCTGGGTGGCGTTTATAAAACTGTTGTACATGCTCTTTCGAAGCCGAAGGCAAATGTTTCCCCACAGAGGCAGAACAGAATGCCACCAGAGGCTCCACTGAGGGATCTGTACAGTCATGTAATGGGCTATTTTGGAAGGAAAGCTGCAGGTGAGCACTAACAGTGTGCAGAGCGCAAAAGGAGAAAGACAGCACCAGTTTGGCTTAATGCAACTGAAGCAAGCTATAAGCAATCAAAAAGCTTTGGGATGGTCACTGCTTTCTCTCTGTTTGGTTATGCATGCGCCTATTCCCAGCTGTATTTTTCCCAGCATAGAATGTTTATTTAAATTACTAATTTCCCTTATAAGGCATTTAGTTAAACCTCTTTGCTGCTGAACAACAATATAGGAAAGAGTATATACAAGAAAATTTCAATGACCTATCAAAGACTACTTAAATCAAATATTTTTCTGAGTGTATACCACGAGTGTGGAAATGAAGTTTACCAAGGAGTTATAATGCTTTCTTCCCCACCCCACTGTAGTTTAAAAGGGCACAAGATATATCTAATTGAATTTATTTATTTTTACTGCTGATTTCTTTCATTTTGTATTTTTTCTTGATAGAAAATTACCTGACATCTAACATAATAGAAATCAAGGTCCTACAGCCAGCAATGTTATAGTTAACTATCAATGATGTGGAAATTATTTCTTAAATCTCAAAGTGAATTTAATCACTTTTCATTTAAGCCATTTCCAAACATGCTGTAGGCTTTTTAGTTTTGCATTCATTTATATGGAATGCAAGTTATAACCTTGAAACACTTTCATTACTTTCTTTTTTTCTGAGATTTTAAATGTACATAAAGGTTTCACAATAGCCAATCATGATTTAAATATGGAACCTCTATGGACACATAAAGAAAGCAAGATTATGGTAACTGTTTATCTTGAGTCAAAGTTAAAATAACTTTACGTGTATAGACTGTTAACTTTCAGCAGTAAGGTTGGTTTTGATTTTATTTGTTTTAACATGGTTTTGTTAGCATGATTAACAACGCTGTATAATGCATCTTGCATTGAGCCATTAATGCCACCTGAGGGCAGTATTTGACAGCTTAGCAAAGCCTGGCCAGTAATATAAAGATAATGGTATTTCACAGTGAGCTTCTGACCAGTATATTTTCTTAATCTGAAATACTTTGTAGTTTATTAGGAACATAAACAGTGCTGATTTTCTTTTCATTGCAGAGAAATCAACTTTTCAGTAGCATAGTAGTGACATAGATAACATTATTTTCTGTAAGTTAGTTTCTCAAGTCTAAAACTTTATTGTTAATGTAAATGGTAAAAAAAAAAAAAGTAGTCATACAAAAATCAAGATAACTATTTTGGATTTTTTTTTTGTAAGAAAACCTTTGCGAAAGGCAACTTTTTTTCTTAAAGCACTAAAACTAGATTTTATAGTGGATAGAAACAGCAGTGTATAAAAATCATAGAATTTGTATTTATAAATACTCAAATGCATTTGTATGCATTTAAGTTTGAGTATTTATAAATACAGGTTTATAAATACAGAGTTTTGCATAGATTCAAATGATATATTCCCTGAAAATATTGTTTAGGAGAGAAATGGAATTGTAAATTGTTAAGGCTCTAAATAGAAACACTGAGTCAGGAAAAAAGATAAATATACCAGTTTCTTTATAGGCGATATTAACCTAACTTCAGCTAGTGCTTATCTATAAGCTTTCTTGCTGTTTAAAGTTATACTGAAGATTGACTAACATCTGCTTAGTTAAATAAAGTAAATATCAATTTACTAATTCTTAAAATTAAATCTAAAAGAAGGGAAATTATTCATAAATGCATGTTTGGCAAATAATTGGCATAGGTACTTTGTTTTGGATTTTGTTTGTTTCAAAGTTAGAAAATGAAGTTAAGTTTTTCCTCACTATATATAGTTATTTATTTATTTTTAGTCAATAAAGAGGACATGAGCCAAAAACTGCCTCCTCTTAATACTGATATTGGCAGCAGCAGTGCCAATGTTCCTGATCTGATGGATGAGTTTATAGCAGAACGACTTCGAAGTGGCAATGCCTCGGTAAGTTTTATTTTATGTATTTAGTTTTATAGAGTAGAGTAGAGAAACTTACAGATATGTATCTATATACATATATGTCAATTTATATATGGGAATGTTTATTCAAAATAGCCTTTCCTCAAAATATAACCCTTTTATGAATTAAGAATTTTGAATTACATTTTTATAATTTTCTTTAAATCTAAAGACATAAAGCAAGCAGCCTCATGGTTTTCACCAAAGTGAAATATCAGACAAATACCTCTACACAAGTACACAGATACAAGCAAATACCTTTATAGTCTCCCCTTTTCTCATCTTTCCTCATAGGTTACCCTGGTGCCAGCTGCCAGCTCTCAGTGTGAAAGATAGGAATGGAGGTCTTCTGTCCCATCTCCCATAGTTACATATATATAATTTAAAGTAAAAAACATATATAATTTTTATTTTTGTCTCAAGATCAGTTTGTGAACCAGCTCCCATAGTTTTGCTAGCACAAATATTGCTAAATCATTTTTAAATAACTTTGGAAGAGACTTAAAAGTGAACTTTATCTTGAATGTTAGGATTATGGCAACATGAAAACAGAAGCTCTTTTATCCCTAGTAATGCTTAATTGTTAGGGAAGGATAAATAGATGTGGAATTGACGTTTTCTTGAGATGGAGCCTTGCTTCACCGCCCAGGCTGGAGTGCAGTGGTACAATTTCAGGTCACTGCAGTCTCCACCTCTGGGGTTCCAGCAATTCTCCTGCCTTGGCCTCCTGAGTAGCTGGGATTACAGGCACGTGTCACCATGCCTAGCTAAGTTTTCTATTTTTAGTAAAGATAGGGTTTCACCATGTTGGCCAGGCTGCTCTCGAACCCCTGACCTCAGGTGATCTGCCCACCTCAGCCTCCCAAAGTGCTGGGATTACTGGAATGAGCCGCCACACCAGACCTGGAATTGCTTTTTTAAAATTTTGTGTTTCATTTGGGTTTGACTTCTCTATAACTACATTATATAACCACATTTTTTTTTCCTTGAGTGGATAAAAATCATAGAACAACATCTTTACTGTCATTCTTTTCACTCTCCCACTGTCTTTTTTATTTGCTGCTCTTTTTTCACTTAAATACTCTCTGCTGGTATAATTTATATTCACTGCATGTATCCTACTGAGGCTTAAGAGTCACAGGCCCAGCATCATATGCTGTTTGGGTCTTTAGTCAGACCAGCAAGAGGTCAGGCTCTAGCTCCATTCAGTTACATAGATTGTTGTGAGTGTTTTCTCCACCCCTACTTCAGCCTCTAAATCTCAGTATTTATTGTGACAGTTTGGAAATTAAAGGTTTCAGATGCTTAAAGAGAATAAAAACTTCTTTTTTAATGGCAAAACATTTCTTGACTTTTTAGACTATGACAAGAAGGGGAAGTAGTCCAGGCAGCCTCGAAATTCCCAAAGACCTCCCTGATATTCTAAACAAGCAGAACCAGATGCGCCCTATTGATGACCCAGGTGTGCCCTCAGAATGGACTTCTCCTGCCAGTGCAGGGAGCAGTGATCTTATCAGTTCAGATAGTCATTCGGATTCTTTCAGCGCTTTCCAGTATGATGGCAGAAAATTTGACAGCAAGTATCTTTTTCTGTTTGAATATTATGTGTTATATTGATTGTCTTCTGTTCAAGACTGACTTACAGATTATGTAGCCATCACCTTCCTCTCCAGTGTTACTTAGGCAGTGGCTTCCACATTCGGAAAAAAAGAAAAATTTAGAGATAGGGTCTCTATGTCGTCTGGGCTAGTCTTGAACTTCTGGCCTGAAGGAGTCCTCCTGGCTCAGCCTTCCAAGTAGCTGGGATTACAGGTATAAGCCATCATTTCTGGCCCCACTTATTTTTATTTCAATTTTCAGTGAAATTTCAGAGGCAATTTTAGGAAATCACTCAAGTTGAAGGTACTTTATTTTGCTCAAATTAAGAGCATTTAAAAAACAAAAAGTGTGGTCCCTTCTTAAAAGAAATTATATTTTTAAAACCAAAACTGTCTAAAGGAAAATAATTTAGTATGGTCCTGATACTAAAAAGACAGTCATGATTATGAGTTGCCACTGTTTCACCCACTCATATTTGAGAACCAAATATTTGGATTATGTTCAGTACTGCAGTACCCAGAACCCTTGAGTAATTGACCCATGTTACAGTAACATCAGTGTGATATTACTTGGTGCTATATTGTTACCACTTAGTATTGCACTTGGCAGTCAGTAAATAACACCAAATTAAAAAAAAAAAAAGTTAAAACTTTGGAAAGTGAAGAGCTGGGAGATGCATTGGAGAATTACATGTTTCCTCCCTTCATGGCTTGTACACTATTCTGATCTAATTGTAATCTTCAGAATGTTAAGATTATTTACACTTGCCTGAGAAGTATGTAAACAGAATGGATGTATGAGGAATGTTTATGTTTGATCATTTTGCTGATTTAGCTCTCTTATAAATATTTTTACTTTGTAATTGGGACTCATATAATAAACATTTCTTCTTCCTGCAGATTTTGGCTTTGGAGCTGACATTGGGGTTATGTCCTCTGCTGATGTGGATTCAGGTTCTGGCCATCATCAGAGTGCTGAAGAGCAGGAAGTGGCTAGTCTAACTACCCTTCATATAGATTCTGAAACAAGCAGTCTTAATCAACAAGCTTTCTCTGCTGAAGTTGCAACCATCACTGGTAAAGTTATTTAAGGGAATGTGTTTCTTAAATGTATTTTTTAAACCTCCAAAGAATCTGATTAAAATTTTGAGAGATTTTAAGTATTACTTATTGCTACTTAATATTTTTTTTTCATTCATCTTTATGTAACAATGAAGGGGAGAAAATACATTAGTTTCTTGACCTGAGGTCTGCTGGGTTAAGCTTCAGAGGACTCTGTGAACTTAGTGTTTTACACACAATTTTGTATATATATGCACTAGAACATTTTCTGCAGGATTAAAAAAATTTTTAATAGGAACATGATAGATGTATATATTTATGGAGGACATGAGACATTTGGAGTGATTTTTAAACTAAATAACCAAAAAAGTTAAAAGTACTGCACTCTGCCGGGCGCGGTGGCTCAAGCCTGTAATCCCAGCACTTTGGGAGGCCGAGGCGGGTGGATCACGAGGTCAAGAGATCGAGACCATCCTGGTCAACACGGTGAAACCCCGTCTCTACTAAA